CACAACCGCAGTCCCCAATCTGCCATTCAAACCCTGCAGCCTCCACGACGTCCCCTGGCTCCCTGGGTCTTACTTTTCTCAACTGTCAAGTGAGGGAGTCGAATTCTGTGACCCCAAGGTCTGTGTCTTTCTTTACATGAACGTGGACTGCTTTACAATTAGCGAGGGACAAAGATTTGTGGAAACACCTCGTGAGCCCTGTTACGGCTTCGAAGCCCCGTGGTGGGTGTCTGGGGACCTCTCCAACCCTCCTGTGTGTCCTCAGCACCAGCCGTCCACACTTGCTGAGTGACCACAGGCACGCGGGACGGATCCGCACTCTCTGGGCAATGGGTGCTCGACCCTCCTCTCTAATCACAGGGAAAGAGCCACCACGTCACTGGAGACCTTGGACACGGGACGAGGGAGTACAGCTCCGTGTAGCGGGCCCCGTGAGTGCAGCACATGTCCGTCTGGGGTGGACGCAGATGGTGGGAGGTGTGCACGTGAGGTCGGGGGGAGTGTCTGTTCCCTTCCCTCAATTTTGCTGGGAACCTATTAAAACCTCTCCAAAACTTAGGTCTGTTAAAAACAAGATGACAACCTTCCGTCTGCAAGAGGTCCCGCTGACAACACGAAAGGGCAGAGAGCAAAGGGACACGGCATGGGGCGGAGTGGCCACATCGGCCCGCACCGCCCGGGGGGCCGGGAGCGAGGTCCCCGCGCTGGGCCGCGTCAGCAGAGGGCAGAGCCGGGACAGGAGAACAGGTTCCGAGGGGAGCCCGCTGGCCCGCGGCCTCGCTGCTGCTGAGCAGTCGGCATCAGGGATGACAATGGCCTCACAAGCCTCCTTCTCTGCTCGGGGACACATCTGGGGACGCAGGCCGGGAGCAAGGAGGGGTCACAGCACGGCAGGGGACAGCCGGGCTCCCACGGGAGAGGGGGACACCGGGGCCGGGAGTCCCGGGCCCCGGCCACCTGGTGCGTTCGTCCTGAGGGCGGCCCAGCTGCCACCTGGCAGTCCCTGTCTCCCCGTCCCCAAGGAGAAACGCGTGTGGTCTACCTCCTGGCACAGCGGACGTGCCCTGAGCTGCACCAAACGACCTTCCCGTCACCACCAGCTCCTCCCTGTGTACGTGCAGGCGATCCTCCCGGTGTGCGTTCAACCTCAGACCACATTTCTGAACCAACACTGTGTCCCTGACACCCGCTCTCTTCCTTCAGAGAGGCACTCCTGAATGTCCGTGCCCCGAGCAGGTGACCCCAGGTTCATCCTCGAGAAGCCCTCGCATGGACGCGCGGCCGGAAGGAAGAGGACAGTCAACTCGGAAGGCGCCCATCGTCCTCCTGCTCGGCCGCTCGCTCGCTGCACCTGGGAAGCTACTTGCTCCCACCGCCGCTGGAGGCCACCGGGCCCTGGAGACAGAGGGGCGGGGACCAGAACAGGGAGGCGTCCCCTCTGCCCTCGGCAGGGCCGGGACCCCACGGAAGCTCCCCCCCGGGCCCCCCCGGGCTCTGCTGATGATTACAAACGGCAAAGAACCTCCAATTTAATTGCAAAAGGTAATGATGCAGCGAGCACAGGGCTCGATTCACCGCAGCAGACGATACCCTCCAGCAATAAACGTCCCGAGGAGCGGCGTGTGAAGGGGGCCAGGATCCATAGGAAGGTTTCCGTATTAAACACCCGGCAGAGGGCCGCAAAGTGCTGTTGACAGAACTGCTGACGGCGAATAAAAACGAAGCAGAGGAGCCTAAATTGGTCTCTGCAGAAAATAAGTCACAGATCAATCCCCCTACATGGCGTCATTCCGAGACGGCCGAGGGTCCGGAGAGGCGTCCCTGTCTGGCTTCAGGACGGGCTGCCGAGGGGCAGGGCGGCACCGAGTGCACGCACACACGCGTGCAGGGCCCATCACCGCCCCGGCCTCTCCGGCCCCCGCAGTCCAGCGGGAACGGACTGGCCCCTTCCTGCCCCCCGTCCGCTCTGCAGCAACGCCCACGAGAGGCGCGTGGGAGGAAGGGTCGGGAGGCGGCTTGCGCCCGTGACCCAGACGCCACAGCAAGGCCACAGGAGGGGGTGAAGGGCCAGCTCCCCACACACCTGCAGGTCCACAGGGAACGGCCCCGGGCACGAGGTCCCCCTCGAGTGTCCCGTTCGGCTGGAGGACTCTGGCCGATATTCGCATTCTGTCCCACACGTGCACGGTCCGAGGACTACAACCGTGAGAAGGCGCGAGCACGTGTGTGAGCAGAAGGCCAGCTGTAAGGCCACCGGGGGTCACAGGCCACAGGGGAGACGGGTCACAGGTCACCGTCCCTTTTTACAACTCACGCAGAAACTTGACAGGTCACGAGCACCAGGAAATCAGCGTTTTATGACCGCTCCTACCTAAAAGAGGATTCCAACCAGACTTCCAGTGTCCGTTCGTGGAAAAGACAACACACTGGAAATGAGAAAATGCGTCAGGATGGCAAATGGGCCAAAGGGCAGAGATCTGTCAGCCTGTGGCTCTGAGTCTTACGTGTGCCCGGGTCCCAGACAGCGTTCACTGGAGACAGCCAATCACACAGTTCTCTGACTGCTGGCTCTGTCCATGCACTAAGTGTTTCCTAACCGACGTCAGGATTCTTGGCACACACGAACCAAGACGTGTATTCTCAATTCAGCCGATAGGTCCCATTAAAAACACAACACGTAGAGGCCCCTGGGTGGCTCAGCGGGTTAAGCGTCCAACT